TGAGAAGGGAGCAGGATAAGAGCTATATTTGATCTCCTGGTGTGATGACTAAGGAGGTTGATAACAGGCTCTGAGGCTCAGGGCGGTAGGCCGGGGGCAGCTGCCAGGGAGAACCACCTCCCTGCTGCAGACGGCTGACTCCCTCCCTTCCTTCACTCCAGGGGGTGGAGTGTGTACTGAGGCACAGGGTACAGCTTGTCCAGCCCCCTTCTGGAAATGCTTAGTGCTACCTTTCAGCTGTTTGGGTCAGGAATAGGAAAGAATGGAGCTGGTGATTGGCGGGTTATCTCAGTTACTCTCCATAGTAACCCTGGGAGGTTGGTAATAAGATCCCCATTTGACAGAGGAAGAAACTGAGGCCTAGGAATTACATAGCAGGGGACAGATCATGGGGCTCCAAGGGAGATAGTGGGTAATTCTCCCCTGCAGAGGTGACTGTTGAGCCCCTTTTTTGAAGGGGAGCCTGTGTTGCCAAACAGAAAAAAGGAGAAATGCCCTGGGAAGCAGAGGGAGCAGCAGGGGCAAGAGTGTGGAGTGTGGAAGGTTCTGGCTGGGAAAGGATGCAAAATTTGGATATACGCCCTCATGGCCATTTGGCTCGGAGTAAAAACACCAGGAACAGGTAGGTACATACACCTTCATCTTTCCTCCTCCTCTTCCTCGATCCGCCTCCCAAGGGCTCCTGTGAATGGTACAGGTACAGAAGGGTTTGTCCTTGCTTTCACTCCCCAGTCATTCTGACCCGGCCCACTGTGACGGAGGGCACGCGGTGGCCACTACCTGAGAAATGTCTTAAGATGTAGAGGGTGCTACAGGTATTAGGAAAGGTGGAAAAGGCAAGTGTTAGGGAGGGCTTCCCAGAGGAGAAAATATACAGGGCATGGAGGAGCATTTCTCCTCCCAAGACTTAACTCCAGGATTCCTTACTGGTACCAAGTGCCACATGTTGTGTTTCTGTCCCCTTGTTCTCACCCTCTAGGGCAGGTATCATCTTTACTTCCCATTTTGTCCCTTGGGAAATGGGCTCAAGGAGGAGGAGTGACTTTCCCAAAGTTACACAGCTGGGGCTAAGCTCAGGCATCCCCCCTCCCTGTCCTCAGCAACCCCTCCTCCCAGGCAGCCAGGCACCCTCTGTCAGCTGCTCTGAAGCGAGTGGCTATTTTTATTCTGGTGCGAGAGGATCTCAGGCAGCAGAGCCATGTAGGTTAGAAGGCTCTAGGACACCTGGCTTCAGCAGGAAAGGAGAGGCTTACTGTAGGGACATAAGCTTGCCTGGGGGTTCTCAGTTCTTGCGGGCTGACCTGCCCTGGGCTCCCAGGTCTTCAGAAACTTTTTTTTTTTTTTAACATTTTATTAGGGAATTGGGGGAGGAGAACAGACAAGTTGCTGTCTTTTTGTTCTTCAGTCTAGTTGTGGATGTCGCTTCACTGGCCTATGTTAGTATTATCATTGCGCTCTCCCCGGTGAGGCAATTGCTTGCCGGCCATTGGACGGCCTCTCATGGCAGCTCACGGCAGCTCACTAAAGCTCACGCCAGCTGCCGGCCAGCCCCACTGCAGCCTACACCGTCGCCAGCTACTCACCGCAGCCCAGCTCCAGGTGGAGCTGTTGTTCACCATCTTAGCCGTAGAGGGCGCAGCGTCACTGGCCCTTATGTGGGATCCAAACCGGGGTCCTGCTGCTCAGAGCTGTCGTCCCAAGCCAACTCTTAACCAATGCGCCACTCAGCCAGCCCCAGAAACTTTTTTATTGGAGCTCAGAACAGAGCATACAGCTAGACCAAACCCTGGCACTGATCCCAGATCCAACTTGAGTCCAAATCTGGGTGTTAACTGAGTCCTGATCCCATGTCAAGACAGTCTCTACCCCAGCTCTAGATTGAGCTCTGACCATGGCCTTAGATTGAGCCCTGACTCTAGTCGTGTACGCTAGCCTGATTCAAGCCTGACGAAAGCTGATACCAACTTGAGGTTTCGATTCTGGACCCAGATTGAGCCCCAGTCCAAGCCTAAGCCTGAGCCAAAGTCACAGACTGAAATCTAACCCTTGTCTAGACTAACCATGATTTTAGACTGAACCCCAACTCCAAGTTTAGGCTGAGCTCCAATCTGGTCATTAACTAAACCCTGAATCTGGTAGCAGACTGAGCCCTGATCTTGTTTATAGACTGAGTCCTGAGCCTAATCCATTGATTGAACCCTGACTTCAAACTGCGCTCTGACCCTGGGTCACACAACTCTGGTCTCACACTAACCCCTGACCTCAGACTGTGCACTGAACCTGGTCAAAGACTGAACCATGAGTGTAGTCACAGACTGAGCCTTGATCCTGGTCACAGACTGAGGCCTCACCCCAATCTGAATGAGCCCTGACTTTAGCCTCAGACTCAGTTCTAACCCTGGGCTTAGGCTAAAGGCTGACCCTGACCCTGTCTGAGCTTGAACCCATCACAGATTAAATCCCAAACCCAGCCCCAACTGAGGAAGGCTGCTGGTCTAGATTACAAACTGCCACATAAGGGAATGGGTTATGAGCAGAGATCCTGGACCTCCCATGGCTGCTGATACCAGAATGTTCCCAGTAGCATTGTAGACAATGTCTCTACCACTGATTCCACTGGCTGGCTAGTCAACCCTTAGCAGCCCAGGCTGTGGCTCCTCCAGGCTGCAGCATCCATGTTAATGCACCGAGAGTGGTTTGGTGGCATCTATCCAGTGAACAAAGTAGGCCCATAGGGCACTGAGGTTTGGTTCTGTCAGCAGAAAAAACCACAGGCTCCTTGGGGCCTCTGGCTTTAGCCACTCTGAGGCTCTTGCTGGGGTGTGAGGTGGAGTAGAGGTAGCCTATCGCATATGTTCCATTGTTTTGTAAACAAAGTTTACTATTTGTGTTTAGGTAATAGGTATTTATTAGAGAAAATACAGAAAAAAGTGTAAAGGAGAAAAATTCACCTATAATTTCGTCTACCAAGAAATGACCATTTGACTTCTTTTTTTTAGCTGAGCCATCCTGCCACCTGTTGGCAGCTCAGTGGCAGCTCAGCTCGGGCCGGACTCGAACTGCTGTTGCTCAGAGCTCAAACTCTTAAGCAAGTTCTTAACCAACTATGCCACTTGGCCAGCCCTCCCTTTGACTTCTTGAGTTGTTTCCTTCTAGATTTGGTTTTTGATCTAGACATATATTTACATATACATATTTTATAAAATCAGTTGGTTACTCTGTTGCTACTGTAACATCCATTGCAGCCCATATCCTTGTCAGCCTTCAGGGATGAGTCCCAGTTGGTTAAGCCAGTGAGTAATTCCCATTCCTCCAGGCACATGACTGGATCATCATGAATGGACAAGTGAGATATAGGAGGCTTCTGCTGAGGGCTTTTAGAAAAGAAAGTTTGTTTTCTCTCCTGAGGAGGTAACCAAAAAAGAGGATTTCCCCTTGATTAGATGTGAATGAAGAAGTCTGTGGTCCTGGTTAGTGCTGGCAGCCAGCTTGGCACCACGTAGGTAACTGACCTAATGATAAGCTAACATTATGGAAAGAAAATGGAGAGATTAGGTGACTTTATCAACTGAATCAAACCTTACCTGAAGACCTCCTTGCAATTAGACATTTTTGTTATTTGAGCCAACAGATTCTCTTTATTGTTTAAGTCAGTTTAATTTGGGGTTTCTGTGACTTGAAGCCCAGCGTATTGCAACTCCCAACTGATATTACTATTTCATAGTATTCTTCTTTTTGTATTTTGTACAATAATGATGAACATTCTCCATGTCATTCAACACTATGCTACATCATTTTAAACAATTGATAGGTTTTCTATCCTATGCAGGTATCATCATTTATTTAATTCATTCCCTGCTGTGTGACAAGCTTAGGTTGTAGCTCCAGTTTTTCACCATAATAAACAGTGGTTTGATAAACAAGCTAGACCTAACTGGTCCCCTCTCTGATGATTAGTTTGGGTCAAGTTCTGAGAAGTGGAATGACTGGGTTGAAGAAATGTTTTTAGAGCTTTGATTTATTGAGTCAAATTGCTCTTCAGAAAGCTTTCATGAATTCACTCCACAGCAGTAAATAGAATGTTAGACATAGCCTACCATGTCAATAGTCTGGACAGAACTAATTATATTTAACAGTGTCCTCATGTATTTATAAAGAATGGATATTAAAAAGTAATAATAGGCTCTAAACCTATTATAATTATATCTTTGCAATCAAGTCAGTTAATGGGAGGTAACAGGGTATGAGCAAAGGGCTAGTGCAGACCTGACATCCATTAGGCTCAATGTTCTAATTTCTTTTAAAATCAGAAGAAAAAATATATAACAATGAATCCAACCTGGGTTATATTGTTTTTATCAAAGTAGTTGTAAAATCTAACTTTTAATATGTTTTCTTAAAGGGGAAAGGAACCCAGCAAGGCAAAAATGCCTAGGGTCCATGAAAGTTATAATGCAGCCTTGGTTTGATATTGAGAAGGATTCTGAGTCCTAGATTCAGTGGGAAAGAGCACCGTGATCAACTTGTTTTGTCTGCCCTAGGCTTGAAAAGGGGAGGTGGCATGCCGATCTAGTTATCTTTGATTTGGTGAGGTGAGCACAGAGACGTTTCAGGTTCAAATTTCAGATCCACAACTTAATCATTTTTTTTTTTTACCTTTCTGAGCCTGTTTCCCAACCTGAAAAATGGAGTTCATAGGGCCTTTATGAAGTAAGGAATGAAATAATGAAAACTAACACTGTGCCAAGTACCATTCTAAAACACTTTATGGGTATTAACCCTTTTATCCTCCCAGCACCTACAGAGCACATAATATTCCTATCGCCATAATGTGTGTCCCAGGGAATTGAATCCCTAAGCGGAATTTCATCTAGAGATAAACAAACAAACTAGGATTCCCCAGGCCTCAGTTTCCCCATCTTGAAGTCCAGTGTCTGGCCCAGAAACTCCCCTGTACGTCCGCATCTCTCCCCCGCCCCCTGCAGGCCTGAGGTGGCACTGTCTGGCCTCATCCAGCCGGAGCGTCCACGCTCCGGCAGAGGGAACGTGTACACACACTCTCGGGACTGGGAAAGTAAGGGTCTGTCTGAGGGCCAGAGCAGGCCCTGGGGCGGATACCCGGAGCTGGGGGCGTAGTCCACGCCGGGGCGGGGCCTCGCGCGGGAGCCGGGCCAGCCTGCTGGCCCAGACGTGGCGCATCGGCCGGGTGGTTCTCCTCTGGCTTGCGGGTCTTCTTGGTTGAGGTTTCAATGCGCATTCCGTTGCCTCCGCCGCCCCTGCTGCTGCTTCTGGGGGCGCTCGCGGCCGCCGCCACCACCTTCCGGCCTGACTGGAACCGTCTGCACGGCCTGGCCCGAGCCCGGGTAGAGGTGAGTACGCCGGCCCGGGGATCACCGCCCCCCGACTCTTGCGGCCCTTTAGCCTGGTAACCACCGCCTGCTCTGGTCCTAAGACTCTCCTGATTCCCAGGTCCCGATTGGCTCTGGGGTCATCCCACGCTCCAGCCGCAGGACGCCCCAGCACCCACCGTGAAAGCCCAAGACGCTCGATCTTGCGGCCTGGAAATCCGAACCCCCAGACACATTTATCACATCCCCCAACTCTTCTGGCCTAGTACTCTCCCAAACCTACCCTCTGGAGTACATCTTCCCATCCCCCCATCACTCCACTTTTTTCGGGGATTTCTTCCCCACCCCAGTTCCATATGGTCAATTTCCTGGGGAAGGGAACACTTTCTGGGCGCCACCTCCACCATACTGGAGCCAGGGATGGAGGCTGGGAATTGCTTACCAATACTTACTCCGCAGCAGTCCCCCATCCCCCACGCGAGGAAATTCCCCGCTAGAGTCCCTGTCTTGCTGTGTGACCTGGCTATCACAACCCCTCTCTGGGCCGTAGCCCACTGTCTGACAAAAGGGAGGCAGGAGGAGGAGGAAGGGCTAGAATAGGTGGTCCTGGGGTCTGGGAAGTGCTCCTCTTCCCTCAGGGAGTGCACGGAAGGTCCCTCCCATCCTCCCAAGCCCAGGAAGCAACCAGATGGCCTGTAGGGCTGGGTCACAGGTGGCAGGGAGGGCCAGCTCTGCATGGGGTGGGGTAGAGACCAGATGGCCAGTGCCCAGGACAGCTCTGAGCTGTTTCCTTCTGGTCAGCCCCACCCTGAGGTTCTAGGGGCCAAAGGCAAGGCCCAGGTCTCTACTGCCTGAGAGGAGTAGTGTGATCATTTCTCTTGGGCATTGGGAGTGAGTGAACAGGCAAGAGCCCCAAGGCCTGTAAGTGCCCTTCCAGTCTTTGGCCTTGCTCTTTGCCTTTGGGATACCTAGGTCTGTTTCTCCATCTGTACAGAATCCCCCCTTTTGCCCACAAGGGGCCCCCATCTCCACATCTTAGGAGCTGCTGTTCTGGAGTAACCACACCTGACCCAATCCAGGAGTGAGGGTGAAATGGCCTTGGGGATGTGGCTGGGGTAGGTGTGAGGGACTCCTGACCTCTCCTATTTTGTCCCCCTCCAGAGCTGTGGGGGATGACAGTTGAATCGCCTGAAGGAGGTGAGTTTGAAGAAAGGGGTCCCCAGCTCTATCCCCAGCTGAGCCTCCTGCGGGGTGGGCAACATGGTCCCAATGATTGGGTGTGGGAGGATCTCTGGGCTGGAAGTCAGGAACTTGCACCTCACTCGCTGTGTAACCTCACTGGGCTTCAGTTTCCCGTCGGTACCTGGAGGGTTTTGGAGTCTGATGCTCTGGTTCCTCCCTAGGTGAAGGCCTTTGTCACCCAGGACATCCCATTCTAGTATCCTTCTTCTGTTCTGGGGAAGGAGAATGGAGAGGGAATCTGGAGAATCTCCTTCCACTTAGCTTCACAGATAGGATGACAAGTAGTTTTCATCTGACAAGTGAAATTGAATGGTAGTGGCTGCCCAAAGAATTCCAAGGTGGTCTCCAAGTTGGGTAGGCAAATGAAATTGGCTAGTGAGGACTGCCAGATACAGGAATGGAGAGGAGGGCCCTTTACTTCTTTGGTCCCTAATTTCCTCACGTGTAAATGGGGATACCTGCCCTACCTGGGTAAACGAGGCTGTGCTGTTCAATGTCAGCAAGTCCCCGGGAGGCCCCACCTGTCCCTGCCCACTGCTACCCACCTTGACACCGTCTTCAGCCACAACCTGGTAATGAAACACCTCCCGGGGGCCGACCCAGAGCTTGTGCTGCTGGGCCACCGCAACGAGGAGCTGGAGGTGAGGCTTTGGGAGGCGGACGTGGGGCGGGCGATAAGCGGGACCCCGCGCGCTGACTCGGCCCCTCCAATTCAGCGAATCCCACTCAGCGAAATGACCCGCGAGGAGATCAACGCGCTGGTTCAGGAGCTCGGCTTCTACCGCAAGGCGGCGCCGGACGACCCTGTGCCTCTCGAGTACCTGCGGGCGCCCGCTAGGCCCGCCGAAGGCGCTCCGGACCGTCCAGACCTGTAGGTCCGGGAGCGCGGTCCCCCCCCTCCCCCGCCCGCCCCCATCAAGCCCTAGGGACAGAATGAAGCGCTCAGCATCCCGGGATCACCTCCCTCGCTGAGGGCCGACACCTCGTCCCCGAGCCGGCAGGGATGGAGTTGCGGGTTCTTCTTAACCCCCTTTATTCCCCTCCTTCAGCTTCACTAAATTCCCTTACGTCTTAAATGAGATTCGACTCCTTTCTTGCTGCTGGCGGGTAGGAATAGCATCTCCCCCACCCCCCAACCCCTCAGTACTGTCGGCTCCCCAACGCCTAGATGCTGGAGGGGGCACCTGGGCACACCTTGCCAAAGCTGCCCTCCATTCAACACCCCGAAGAGGCAGAGACGAGTCAAGGTCGTTGAAAACCAATAATTTATCAAAACTGCGTGTGTGTGCGAGGGAGGGTGTTGCGACAGACAGGGCAGCGGTGGTCAAGCGCACAGGGAGAGGAGGGTGCCTGGATGGTGGGGGCAGTTGCTGCAGGCGGGCTATGCGGGCGGGGGAAACTAGACATTCTTCCCGCGCAGGCGCAGCTCATGGCGCCGCAGGTGGTTGTAGAGCGACTGCACATAGGTGAAGACGCACTTGGGGTCGGGCTTCTTGCCCATGATCATCATGTCCTCCACCTCCACCAGGGGCACGCAGTCCACCAGCATCCTGCGGGGAGGGGGTACGGGGGTGACTGTCAGCGCCGGCTCCGCCTTTTGCTGCGACCCTCCACCCGGAGGTCTTTTCACGGAGGAAGCCTGCTGGTCTCCACAAATTCCATACTCTCAATAGGCTGAAGGGAGCCTGGGGTGTGTGTGTGTGTGTGTGTGTGTGTGTGTGTGTTGCGGAGTGGGGGGAGAGGAGCCTTCCAGGAAGGCAGGAAGCTCCAAGCTCCACCCATCCAAGCCTGGAGGCACCTTTGTAGGGAGCAAGGCCAGGCAGGTGGAGGTGAAGATGGCAGGAAGAGGAAGTCTGTGCCTCATTTCAGTGAGGGCAGGGTACTGGTCTCTACTCCTAGCCCTGGGGAGGTTCTCACTCCAGACCCCGCTCACTTCTCTCTGGAGGGGCACCACCTGCTCATCCTCAATGGCATACTCCAGCTGGCAACGCGACTTTCAGTTGGGCCATTGCACCCAAGGGGCCTTATCACTGGCAATCTTTCCCTGCAGCCAGGACCTGCCCCAGCGACCCTCTGGGGCCCAGATTATCTGCCAGCTCCCTGGCCTTGTACATCCTGCAGAGTGCCCCCCCTTCCTTGCCCCAGGGGACAGCTCTGCTGTGTGAGATGGCCAGGAAGGTATGTGGATAGGCTGGAAGGGGCAGTTCTTTAACCCTTATTACCCCCCTTGGGTACAGTAGGGGAAGCAGATGGGACCATTTACATCACTCTCAGGGGTGGGACCACCCTTCTGTCCATTCTCTAGAGTGCCAGATGCACTTTATATATAGAGAAACTGAGTCACAGGAATCATTTGTTTCAAGCCCCACAGCTTATTACATGCAGGACTGGGCCTGATAGGGCCCAGGCCTCAAGTCTTGGGTGTTGGCACCTGCCTGGAGCCCTCTCTCCACTTGGGTAAGTGGGCTACAGCTACCACGCAACTCCAGCCCCAGAACTCTAAAGCTGGAGTTTGCTCCCTGGTTCCACTTCTCCTCCTCTCCCAGAGCAAGTCCCCTTCGGCATGCTCCCTCCCATCTGCCATGCTGGCATATAGTAAGTACTCAATCAATGTTGTTGAGTTTCCTTTGGCAGGGAAGGCATAAGGACAGGAATTGCTCCTGTTCCCAAGACACCCAAGGGCTCCAGGTCTACCTCCCATCTTGTGCCTTCCAGGTCAAACCTAGGATGATGGTAGGGCTGGGGCTTACTCCCAGTTCAATGGACTCCAGGGAAGAAGCCTGGGAGGAAGGAGACCTCGGTTTCAGACCAGACTCTATCCCTGACCAGCTGTAGATGCTAGATAAAGCCCTCCCCTGTGACTCAGTTTTCCTGTCTTTATAGCAACAGTATAGTCATTTTCTGCTTCATTTGAGACCTTGGATGAGTAAGGGGTTCCTGACTCTGTTACTGATGTGCTATGTGCCCTTGAGGTTGTCTGCCCCAGACTGGGCTTGTTTTCTCAGCTGTACTATGGTGGAGAGGCAGTCTCTCTCTGCAGTTCCTTCCAGCAGTGACTATCTCCCCAGGGATCCCAGCCACCCTCCCCCAATGTGGAACTCCCTCCCAACCCTGGTGTCTTCCCTGGAGACCTTATAAAGCCATTGTTTACACTGGGGCTCATGGCTCAGGGCTCCAGCTGCCCCAGTGAAAGGCCAAACACCAGGCAATTGGAGCAACGGCACAGCTGAGTCACACTTTCCAACTGGATCAGGGCTGGGCTGGGCCCCTCTTGCTTCAGGCTGGTCTGCTGAGCAGCAACTCCTAAGTCCATATATGACCTGGAGACAGCATCAAGCCCATCCTCCCCTCACCTGCACAGCTTCTCTGAGTATATGTGTGCACATGTGGGCTGCCCTCCACAATAGCTCCAGGCCCCAAGGGGCATCCGAGTGCACCTATAGCTCTGTCCCTGACTCACATTACTTCAGTCAATCCCCTTGTTCCCTCTAGGCCTGTCTTTCCTTCTCTTTACAACACAGGTGTGAAAAGTGATGAGGCAAGGAAAAGAGCTACTATGGGGGATCTGGAGTTCTAGTTTCTGGCCCTAGTTCTGACCTAACCCTCTGGGTCACTCTGAGCCCACCTCTCTTCTCTGGGTCACTCTGAGCCCACATTTCTTCTCTGCTGAGTTCCTTGTCTGGAACCAGCAGTTAGCTCAGGATCTAAATTCTCTACTGAGGCCCTGAGGTGAGGTGACAAGACAGGAAATGCCACACCTGGCTTGGGGATCCAGGATCCCAACCAGAAACATCTTCCTGTTAAACTGGCCCTGCTCCTGAGCTCCCCAGCATGGAGCATGGCACCACCAACTCCTCAGTGCCCAAACTTAAGGCCTGGGAGGCTTCCTTGACCCTCCTTCCCTCCCCAACCAGATCCATCTGGAAGCCTGTCCTACATCTTATTAAGCTTCTCCAGCTATCTAGTCCACCCCCTCGGCTCTCCATTCCTCATCCAAGGATTGTTCTAGAATGCTAACCAGACCACATACATCCCTCCTGTTTGGAAACCTTTTATGACTCTTGTCCTCAGGAGGAAGTTTAAAGTCTTGACTGTGGCCCCCACAACCCCCTCACACCTTCCTTCCCTTCCTGGGGGTGCCATGCTCTCCATCTCTTGCCTCTAGCCCTGGCCATAGGCTCATCCCTCTGCCCTCTGCCTGGAACTCCCTTTCCTACCTTTATCCTGAACTTTGTTGTTCAGATCTCAGCTTAGTCTGCACTTTTTTCAGATAACCTGTCCTAGGCCTACAGGCTGGGGCAGGTACCTCCCCCAGGGTCCCTCCTGGGCTTCCTTCATCTCAGTCCTTGGGTCATCATTTAGGAGAATGGCCTTGCCTGATGCTAGGCCCTGAAATGCCAGAAGACAGGGCCATGTCTGGCTCCTGGATCTTCTCAGGGTCCCTCTGCTTCCCCCACCCACCTCCCAGGCCTCTCTCTGTGCCCCGCTGAGCAGATTCCGGTGTACAGGGCAGGCGGGAGAGGAGGCGTTTCTCACCGTGGGGTCCCGAGCAGGGGTTAGGACTTTTTGGTTTTTACCAGCCCCTTCTGGACCAGACAGCGGTAGAACTCCTGGATGTACGTGTACACGCACTTCCAGTCAGGCTCTCGAAGCCGCACCATGTCCTCTGTGTCCAGGAGCTGCGGGCAGTCCGCATGGGTCCTGGGGAGGGTAGGGGGCCGGGAAAGGGCAGGGAGGCGGGGCCCAGGCAGGGTAAAGGGGGAAGAGGCAGAGAACAGAGAGGGGAGGAGAACAGAGAGACATACACATACACACACACAGAGACATGAGTTCAGTTACACTCTTAGTGCTGCAGTCTGCCAGCCCCCCGCATGCCTCCTCCCCATTGTGGACGTGCCGCTCACTACCCGTCACTAATGGTGTGCGATGCAGACAGGGGTGGGGGGCCAGACCAATCACAGGTGCAGAGAACTCTTGGGGAAAGCGGGAACACAGGGTGGGGTGGGGGGCCGATGGCATTGGCACCCAGGTTGGAGAGGAGGGCTGTGCCCCAGGGAGCGGGGGTGAGGGAGGCGTGAGAGGAGGTGGAGGGAGGAAGAAGAGGAAGAAATCTGGGGGGAGCTAGGAAGAGAAAGGCAGAGAAGGAAGACAGATGGAAGAGGGTGCTGAGGGTGAGGTGAGCAGACGGGGCAACGATTCCAAAGTGGAGGGCTTGCTGATGTCCTATATAAGCCTCTGGCAACACCTATATAGGCTGGGCGGGCACGGTGCCCGGGCCAGGAGCCTCCTTTTGGAATCTCCAGCCGGGATCCCGTGGGAGCAGGAAGCTCTGATGATAGTGAGAGGAGAGCAGGACAGAGAAAGGGAGAGAGAGAAAGGGAGAAAGGGGCAGAAGGAAGATGGAGGGAAAATGGACAGGGCCACCTGGTGGGTCTTAGCCCGGGCTGGTAGACGGGCCTGTGGCTCCTTCGTTCCGGCGGGCACCTGGCACACTCTGCATCAGGTGGGCAGAATGGAGGGGGACGGGGCTTTCTGGGGAAGGAGGTCTCAGCCACTGTCTGACAGTGCGGCTGGCCAGCTCCAGAGGGTCCTGGGACAGCTGGGCCTCCAGATGCCCAGCTGACGCCACAGGGCTGGGGCTCACACTTACTCAGCAGATGAGAAGGCCACCTCGAAGTTCTGGCGCCGGTTCTGTGGGCTGAGCTGCCCATAGTCGAAGGCCTCAGGGAAAAAGTTGTGCACCAGGGCACAAAAGGCCATCCCATCACTCCAACTTGAGGAGAAGTTCTGGATGTCCACATGCTATGGATGGTGGGAAGACTGGTCAGCTCCCCTATGACTTCTACCCCCCTCCCCTCCACCACCAGCATTCCGGCATTCCAGACCTAGGGCAACTGGGCTCAGAGAGGCCCTACAGCTTGCCCAAGGCTGCACAGCGGGTGAGCAATAGGAACATGAGCCTCCTCCACCTTAGTCTGTCAACTCCCATGTCTGCTATTGACAGGGACAGAGCAACCAAGAGGCCCAGCACCACCCAGCTCGGGCCATGGTCATACCCCCATCATTTCTCCTCTTATAGAAATTTACCCAGTGTCTCTAAGAGCAATGAAGGAGGGTCTCCAAGGGTGGGGTCTGGTCCTGAACCATGCCCACCATCCAAGGGGCCCTCATTGGGCCCTGACACTTAATCATGTATTCTGGAATCTAGGGCATGTTATGTGTCCTCTTTGAGCCTGTTTCTTCATTCCATTAGAGGGCTTCCCATGTTCCCTGCCAGGCATGGTGGCTGTGAAGGGTACAAGGTAGTGAGAAAGAGTTCTGCTAAAGGGGAGGTGCTGAGCTGCTGTCTGGGGGACTGCTGAGCCACCTGGCTTCAAAGAGCTCACCTCGTAGCCACGTGTCTTGGCACGGCACCAGTCCAGCAACATCTGCTTGATGCTGTTGGCATTGGGGACCCCGAAGCTGGTGGAGCGCTGCACTGCTGTGCGGGGTCCGCCAGGGCTGCTGCGAGGGTGTTATTGGGTACCAGGTCACAACACTATAGGGGGCGCCTCTTTTGTAGGTCCATTCGGTGGGCCTCAGCACCACTTTCGTGGACCTTCAGGCCCCTCCCACCACAGTTCAAGCTGCGCTTCCCATTTTTGACCCCGCCCCTTGCACTCATTAGGCCCCGCCAGAAGCAGCTCACCCAGCCGCGCCCTCCTTTTCCAACTTCTCAATCATGGCCTTGCGTGCCTGGGAGGCCGAGGTCTTGGGCAGGCTCTGCGCCTTCATCAGCTCTTTCTTCTTTTCTGCCTGGCGTTTCTCCAGCGCCGCCAGGCTGCCAGCCCGTGGGCTGGCTTCGTCCTCGCGGTCGAAGATACTGGGGGATGGAGAGGCGGCAGTTAGGCCGCTCCTGGGGCTCAGGCCCCACTCACCAAGGCAGGGGTCTTGTCGCGCTCCACACACTACTCTTTCTGTACCTCCTCTGGCAATGGTGGACAACGGCCAGCAAGGGAGGCTTCCTCACTACACCCATTTTATAAAGGAGTGCACTGAGGCTCAAACAAAAAGAAGATGGGAGCCAACCTCTTTTTCAACAGACTTGAACTCTGGGGAGTTCTCTGAGAAAGCTCGTCATATTGTCAAGTTTGAGGTGCATTCAGCATGTGGGCACTATCAACTAATAATGCCGATCAGCATAATAATAGTAATAGTAATAATAGCTCATGTCTATTGAGCCTTTCGTACGTGCCATTTAAAACTTCACAAGAAGGGCCGGCCGAGTGGCGCGATGGTTAAGAACTGGCTTGGGACGCCAGAGGGCCCTGGTTCGGATCCCACATATGAGGGCCAGTGACACTGCCCTCCACAGCTAAGATGCTGAACAACAGCTCAACCTGGAGCTGGGCTGCTGTGAGTCGCCGGCTCTGGCGTAGGCTGCAGCCCCTGTGGCAGTGGGTTGCCATGGGCTACCGTATGTAGCCAGCAGCCAGCGTGAGTGCCAGCAGCCGCCATGAGCAGCCGCCCAGAAGCCGGCGACTGATCTGCCTCGCCCGGGAAGAAGATAATGATGGTGCCAACCTGGGCCAGTGAAGCAACGTCCTCCACAACTAGACTGAAGAACAAAAGGACAGCAACTTGTCTGTTCCCCTTCCCCCAATTCCCCAGCGCTGTTCCCATCCCCCCAATTCCCCAATAAAAATCTTTAAACAACAACAACAAAAAAACTTCACAGGAAGGAGGGACCCTTGTCATTCACACTAAAAATGAGGAAACTGAAGCCCCTGTCCTCAGAGTTCAGAGGGAATGGGGAGCAACACAGGAACTTGAACCCAGGTTTCTGACTTCAGAGTCCCTGGATCCTTCTGGTTCCCAGTCTAGATTGTGATCCTGTCCCTGCTTTGTACCAGCCCCGACACCTCTGTAACATAGATGGGGTGTACTCTTCTTTTCCTCATGGGTCTAAGGTATAAAAGTGCTATGTGATGTGAGCTGTGGCCTGCAGATATTGGGAAGTGGCAGTGCCACCAGGCAGTTCAGTGTGGTAGACAGGCCTCTTAAAGGGTTCAATATTGTTGCCACTAGGAGCTGTGAAACCCTGAACAAAATTTCTGGCCTCGCCTGTGGTGCCGTTGAGAGTTAGGTGAGATCACAAGGCCAGAAAGAGTGGTCTGACTCTCACTCTGCCCCTCCTTGGCTGTATGCCTCTCATCTCCCAGCCTCTGTCTATTTCCCTCTGTAGAATGGATGTACAGTGAGTTCCCTTGTGGTGCTGACTCCTCTGTGGTCTGAGGGTGGGCTGTGCTCACCTGCCCATCTTCTTGGATGATGATGAGGAGAAGGTCTTGGTTTGTACCATGGTGCTGCCACTACCATCTACAAGAAAGGAGAAGAGGAGCAGGGTGAGGGCCTGGGCTAGACATCAGGAGATGGGATGGGGGCTATGGGGAGGCACAGTTGTAGCCACAGGCAGAGAAAAGTGATAACTGGATAGAGAAACAGACAGATAAAAGTATGGAGAGAGAGTTCGAGGAAGAGCCTGAGGAGGCGGGCAGGCAGGTAGGCACAGGGCGACACCAGGCAGCCTTACTCTCCGAGCGCCTCACGAAACTTGATTCCACTGTAGTGGTGCGGGCCGTCCTTGTGCCATCATCTGGAGGGGCAGAGGATGAGGAAGGGTGTGAGAGGCATAGGGACCAGTAGGGTGGATATGTCCCTACCCTGAGCCCTGAGCCCTGCTTGGCCCCTTACTGGAATGGACGAGCCGCTCAGTCTTGGTGACAGTGCTGACAGCTGAGCCGTCGGCTGCCCGCTGGCTGTGTCGCGTGGTGGTCTCGGTGGCCATGTTGCCACGGCCCTCCCCTGGCCGAGCCCGTGCCTCTTGCAGCCGCCGTTCCCGTTCCTTTTCCCGCTGGTCTGGACGGGGGATGCCCCATGCATGCCCGGAAGGGCCACCCATCACCCACACAGCACATATGTAACGGGCACACAGGGCACAAAAGATGGGGTGGAGGGCAACTTGTTAGAAATACCGAAAACATAGGATGTAAGGGCCTCTCTAGGAGTAGCCGGGGGTGAGGGGATAATCATAACTTGGCAGGGAGTGGGGTGTGTGTGATGGACTCAAGAAGAAACAAGGGAATATGGAATAGCTGAACTGAAAGGGGGAGTATTTGGATCCAAAAAGGGATTTTCTATGGAAATGAGTAGCCGAGTCTGGAGGGAGTATATAGATCAAGGGAGGGAGTACCAGAGTCCAGGGAAGAAGCTGGGTGAGGGCAACAGTTGAGAGGGGCCTTTAAGTGAGCCTTAAGGGGAAAAGAGGAGCCCCTAGAAGAAGAAATATCTAGATCTGGGGAGAGAAATTGGAGGTACCTGAGAAGCAATATGATCCAGGGAAAAGAGTAGTTGGGAGAGAAGATGGCAAAAGGGGTAACTGGGCCTAAAGAAGTAGGTGGGTGGAGATAGAGGCTGGGTGGCCATCAGTGGGCTCTGGAGGAAGCAGCTAAATTCAGAGAGGGAATAATTCAGAGCATCTGGAGAAGCAAAGAATCTAGAATCTGAGGGAAAGAATAGCTGGGTTCATGGAGGAAGCAGCTGTGCCCAGGGAAGGGAAAGCTGTGTGGGGGCAGAGACCAAGCTGGTCATCAATGGTCTTTAAGAGAGAAGTAGCTGGGAGAAGGAGTATCTGGATTCAGGAAAGCAGTGGTTGACAGGACTTGAAAAAGCAACTGGATCCAAGGAGTAGTAGCTGGGAGAGAGAGAGCAACTGGGTCTAAGAAGGAGAAGACAAGCTGGTTGGGGACAATAACTGGGGTGACCAGGAGAGAGAAGCAGCTAGGGAAGGGAGCAGTTGGAGCCAGGGAGAAGGAAGCAAAGGAACAGCTGGGTCTAGAGGAGAAGCTGGGTAGGGCAGTTACTAAGCTGGTGTGTCCACCAATGGACTCCAGAGTGAGGGGAGCAGATGGATCTAGGGTGGGGCAACTGGCTCTCTACCTCTCTTCCTTTGTCGTAGCTCACGTAGTGCAGCCCGAATGAGCTTCCGCTCCTCGAAGGCTGTAGTCTGATCCAGCTGCAGATAAAGCTCCTGTCATTGCCCACCTGGTGCCTGTTGGTCCCTGCCCCTGCCAACTCCTAGCCCACCAGATCCAGCTATACCATCTTGTCCAGGATGCTCTCATCCTCAATGGCCATCAGCTCCTCGGCACTCAGTGGGCTCTGCCTCTCTGGTGCTTTGTCCACCCGGGTCTGCTCAGTGCCATTGGCCACTTTCACTGCTGCAGAGGGGGACTCGGCTGGCTCTGGTTCCATCTGTGGGGTGGGAAGAGGGCATGGACTTTAAGTAGGGGTCTAGATGAAACCAACCATGCCCCCAATGAACAGGACACCAGGCCCTGGGGCTGCCTTGGAAATTACTAGCCAGCCATACTGTCTGCCCAAGGGTGGCCATGTTGGTGTCAGGCTCAGGGAAGAGGCACTGAGAGCCTTGTTGTAGGGTTGCCCACATACCCAGGATTGTGTTAATACAATTAATAGTGGCAATAATGGTGACTGCCATTTAGTAGTAAGCCCTTTATAAGCACTGGGGATTTTACTGTCCCAATTTAACAGAAGGCAAAACTGAGACTCAGGGCAGATGAATGACTTGCCCACAGTCCTCCTATAAGTGTGATGCAGTCCCGGGTCTGAGCTGAAGGTAGCCTAACTCCTGAACCTGAGTTCTTCCTTCTGCTTCATTCTCAGCCCCTTCCCAGGCAGACTGTGCTCTGTCCTGCCAGTTCCCAAGGTCTGGGCCCTACTAGGTGAGTGCCCAGGCAGCACACACCCCCTCCCCACCCCACCCCACACACACACCAAGGAGGCTGGCCAAAGGCCCATAGGCTTCTGACCAGGTGTCTGACTGGGCCTGCCCAGAGCCAAGACCTTTCTGAAGCTCACTCCTACTCCCCATACTCCACTTGGAACTACCCTCAAAGGGGCCTCCAGCCCCAACCTAGCCCCACTAGGGTATCTCCCCAGCTCCTTGCAGACAAGCCTCCTGCCCAGCTATCATAGCTCATCTCCTTCTGGCAGGGCCTCTCTGTCTGCTGTAAGGGTAAGGAGAGCCGAGGTGGCAGCTGCTTCAGGGAGGCTCAGACTGGCTGGGGTAGGGGGTGGGGGTGGGGGGTGCCCCACACTGGTTCAAATGCTGCAAAAGCCTCAGGTGCAGAGTCTTCCTGAAACTGAAAGTCCTGGGGACAGGCCAGGGGATGCCAGGGCAGCAGCCACACATGCCTCAGGGCCAGGAGCCTGGGACCCTCTGGCCTCAGTCTTGGAGCATTAGTGTCCCAGTCCCTTGTACAGAGAGGTAAACTGAGGCTCAGAGAGATGGTGGCACACCTAAAGTCACAGCAGAGGCAGAGCCTGGCTCAGAACCACACCTTCCCCCAAGACCATAGGGACTTACAAGACTGCTGCTGTGGGCAAGGCTGGCAGAGGAGCGGCGGCGGGTGCTGAAGGCAGGCGGGTGGGCTACGGGGGTCCCGGCATCCTCGGCCGCCTGGAAGAGGGCCTCGGGGTCGGCGGCAGCCAGGAGCAGCTCACTGGGCTCCAGCTCAGGCTCAAGGTCAGGCACAAGTGGAACCCCCAGCCGCAAGCTCAGCACCTCCACCTGCCTGCCCAGTGCATCCAGCCGCCGGCTCAGTGCTGCTGTCTCCGCCCGCAGCTCTTCAGTTGCCCGGGCCACTGGCTCCATGGTCAAGGCAGCTGCCTCGGCTGCCTGGGTCACTGCCACCCGGCCTGCCTCAGCCACAGCCCGCAGCTCTTCCAATGCCTGGCCCAATCGCTCCTCAAGGGCGGTGGCCAGCTCAGACCCAGGCCCTGGTACCCCCGGCATGGTGCTGGCAGGGGCTCTATGGTCGGGTGACGATGGGGACAGTGGTAGGGACTGCTGCCTATGGCTGGTAGTGTCAGAGTCTTTGCAGCTGGCCTGAGGGCGAAGGCAAGGGCAGTGGGCCTGCCCCGCCCCTGCTGGCCTCCCAGCCCGCTACCCGCCAGCTGGGGCTGCAGCCCAAATAGAAACCTATTCTGGGCTCCCTGTGGAGGGGACCATGGGGGAGGGGTGGCCTGCCCAAGCAGGCAGACTGCCAGGCCTGGCCCTGGCCCTGTCCCTGCAGAGATCACAGACTCGCAGCACAGCAAGGCTGCAAAGATTTGGAAGGATTGCTGAGGCCAGGGCCCCGTGCCCCAGAGGTGGGGAAATTGAGGCAGGGAGCAAGGAATGGGCCTGCCTGGGCCATGTGCATTAGCTTTGAGGATCCATTCTGCCAGACTCCAGAGCCTGCACTCCTTCCCCTCATGCCATGCTATTTTAGAAAGCCTTGAACACATGGGGGAAATGGAGGCACAAGGAGGTGGGCTATTAAGCAACCTGCTATACAAGTGTCTCGTCCCTGAGATAAATGTCCTCTGGCCTGTATAAGGTGCTTGGATCCAACCATGGACTTTGGACAAGTACATTATAGGCACATTATCTGCTTCCTCTTGGTTCTAGATGGGTAAACTGAGGCGAGTTGGTGGTATCAGACCCAGGACTCCTGTGACACTTCCCACCCACCCCAAGGGCCTCAGCCACCACTCCTGCTCCCTTTGCAGAGAGCAGTTAGGTCCTGCTCTGTGGGGAGAAGGCTGCTTTCTTGCCCCCACCCTCTCTCTGTCACCCCTGAGAAGGCCCAAAGATGGCTCTAGCCATCCCACTTCAGCCAAAGTCCCATTCAGTCCTTGGTGCATAGAGGGCATTACCTGGGCAGCCAGGCAGCCCACTGGGGATCCCTTCCCCAGCTAAGCTCCCAGCCAGCTGATCCAGAGCTTGGGAATGAATAATGGAAGGATGCAGCGTATTCAGTTCCCGTGGCACCTGCTAGGCTGCTGCCTCACCTGACTGGTGTCCCCCTACCTGTCTGTCCCTCATCAGTGCTTCTGCCTAGCACGCCCCACCCTCCAAGACATAGATGCTAATCATTAATCTCCAATCTTCTAATGGGCCAGGCTGATCTTGGATAAGCAGACGATCAGCTCTGCACCTCAGAGCTGAGGTCCAGTGTGGGATAAAAGCAGGGGCACTGGGGCTGCCACAGGAAGAGGGGGGCAAGCCCTTACAATCCTTAGCCTCAGTTTTCTCATTTGTTCATTAGGAATAAACCAATCACTTTTGGAGGAAAGATCAGAAATCAGCATGTGGAAAGCTTAAGGCCAATACAGAGTAAAATTTCTGACATGTCTAGTGGCTGATAGGCTAGGGTCCGGCCTCAGCTCTGCCACCAACCGGCTGTGGACTGTGGGCAGCCACCTTCTCTCTCTGGGCCTCAGTTTCCCCGTGTGTGCAGTGGGGGAGGAATAGAGTAGAGGAACCCTGCCAGCTCAATACCCTGAAGCAGTCCACATACGTGGGTGGTGAGGTTGGCTGGGTGAGGAGGGGCTCACCTTAATGCTGCAGCCTCCTCGGCCACTAGGGGAGGCATGGCTGAAGCTGGTAATGTGAGTAACACTGCCCAGCCGGGCCGGTGTTCCAGAGCCGCTGATATGGGTGATGGTGCTCTTGCCCCCACTGTTGGTGCTGAGAAGGGTGGGGGGTGCCCGCAGCCCCAGCATCAGTTCTGGAAGGGAAGAGAGGCTACTGTCAGGATCAGGTGGGGTTAAGGACAGTGCCAGCCAAAGATGATGACGCCCCTCGCTCCCAGCACACCCTTTGGAGATACGCGGAGCCCTGGCCACAACACCTGTCTTGTGTGCAGAGCTGGAAGGCTACAGGCACTCATCTCCAGCAGCAGGGAGGCCTACCTGCCCTCTGGTTGCCTGTGGGCAGCAGCACCCGGCCTGTGGGGGCTTGGCCACGGCCATCCTTGATCTCAATGGTGAATGTGGTCTTCATATTGGTCCCTGGCTCGGCAGTGCTGACAGCCACGGGCAGCAGGGCACTGGGCTCCTCTGAGCAGGCTGCGGCCCCCCCTGCTGCGTTTTCAAGGGGCCTGGCAGCCAAGCCCCGCCCCCTGGGGCCCTCCTCCTGGGGACAGCTCTGAAGTTGGGCCAGGGGCCGGGCTGTTCCTTGCTGCTCTTTGCTGAACCGGGAAGAGGTGTCACAGGAGCTCTGTGAGGAGTGGCCAGAGGAGGAGGCAGGGGTGATGTTGACATAGGAGGGGCCCAGGAGCCTTGCAGGGGTCGAGGGGCCTAGGACTGCCTGGGGTGCGCCGTCCTGGAGCCCAGCAGCCATAGGAGAATCAGATGTAAACTTGCGCACGCGATCCAGTACAGAGCCAGCCCGCTGGAACGGGGACGGTCCACTGGCAAGGGGGGTGGGCTCTAGAAGGGACAGGAGGGCTGTCAGTGACTGGGTAGGACAGGGACTGCCCAGAGCCTGGGGTCACGGGAATAGGCAGTACCTCGGTTCTGGGCTGGCTGGCGGGGGCTGAGCATGGACAGGGAACGTTGGAAGGGACGGGGTCCAGCTAGGTCTGGCAGTATGGGGAGGTGGTAGCAGCCATGTAGGGGAAAAGAGAGTGGATGGGGTTCCACTTCTCACAGTCCTCTCCTCCGCACCTCCTCAGCCTCCCAAACCCTTCCTGCACCCCAATCTCCTCAGCCTCCCCAGCCCATCCTATACCTCCCACAGCTCCTGGCCTCCCCACTCAGTTGCATCTCCTTTACAGGCCCCTCCTTCCCCTCCTGCCCTGACCCTAGGATGACTTGGACACTCCTGGGGGCTGTGGCTAGGCCTGGGCTGGAGGAAGGGTGCCCAGATCCTCCCTACTGATGGGGCTGGGGGACACTCCCCTGGCCAGCACTGCCCACAGCTCCAACTGGGAGATGGGCGCACTCCCTTATTGGGGAAAAGAATGTGCCTGAGGCCCGTTGCCTTTCAAGGCTGCGGGGAGGCCTCTGGCCATGGCTGGGGGGCGGGGACACCTCAGGGGCAGTAGGAGGAGTGTCAGAGACTGCCTGGACCTGAGGAGGCTGGAGCTCTCTAGGCACAAGAGCCCATTTTCTAGGCAGGGAAAGGGAGGCTGGGGGAGGGGAAGGCAGATGCCTGTAGCTATCCTTCCTGGAACCCTCACCTGCTCTCTTTGTGTTGGAGGGACCTTTGGTGGGGTCTTGGGCAGCAGGGGGCTCTGTGGGGCCAGGCAGGAGCTGCAGGGGAAACACAGGATGGGCAGGGCCTGACTCCCAGACTAAGGAGCTCACCTGCCTGGTATACCTCCCCGTCATCCAGACTCACCTTGTTGACCTCCTGCCCCTCAGTGCTGGGGCGTGCTGGAGGCTCCTGGGGCTCAAGGCTGGCAGCCCTGGTTGGGCTGCGGGGTAGCTTGGGGCTGCCCAAAGCCTCGGCAGCAGGGCACTGGGTCTTGGCAGGCTCCAGTGGAGGCTCAGGAGAAGCAGTGGTGGGTGAGCTGTCAGGTGAGGCAGGTAAGCTGGATGTGCTCCTTGGTGGGGCCTGCAGCAGGAGTGTCACTGTGGTCACATCCCGGCTGGTGACCTCAGGGGTTGGGGTTGGCTCTGGGACCTCTGCCTGCTGTTCCTGTTCCTCTGGCTCCGGCACCTGTGGGGGACCCATAGACTGTGACCAAGGCTCCCCAGGCTGGCAGATGCTCAGGGCAGGGCATGCAAAGCAGAGAGGCTGGGCATGGTTTCCTGCAGGCACACCTGCATAAGCATGGGCACTGGTACGCCATTGGCAGTCTGATCCTCACTTCTTGGTACCGCCTAGTCAAGGGCAGTTCAGAGAGAACCAGATCCTAATGACAGGGGCTGGGGACTTCTAGACTTAATATCCCTAAAGGGGAGACCCCTGACCCCTGGCCTCAGCCTGGTTAATCAGGAGGGAAGGTGGGTATCCTGACAGGGACTCAGAGACCTCTGCTGGCCACTTAGGGGAGCTACATGGCATGACCTCTCACCCACTCTGACCTCTCCCTGGAGAACAGAGTCCACTCTGTGAACAGTGCTTTATGAGTCAGTTGGGGCCTGACACGCAGGCCCTGTAAGCCAAGGTAAGGATGTGGACTCTCTGGAGGGGGGAGGGCAGCTGCAGGATAGGTTTTAGCCAGGGAGGTACCAGGGTCAGATTTGCATTTCAGGGAGATCCCCGTCTGCTGAGTAGTGGAGGTGGAAAGTAGGCGTGGGGAGGCCAGCAGGGAGGTCAACAAAGGTGGTATTGGGAGATGGACAGGAACCTGGGCGCAGTGTAGACAGGCTGGTTTTGAGGGGAAATCCTGGGTATAGACAACTTGGGAGTGGGGGACATGTGACCAGAGGTTGCCTGGGAGAGTGGGCAGAGGCCTGAGATAGAGCCCTAGTGTCCCCCAAACACTAAGAGGCTCTTCTCAGTCAAGTACCAGTTTAGCAAAGACACACATGCTCTGTGCAGATGGCATCTGTGGGCAGAGGATACTGGGCCACCCTCCCACCTTACCCACAGCTCTTACCTCACACCGTTCCAGCCTGTGTGCTACCCGCCCCTTGCTGTCCTCTCTTGAGCCACTGTTGGGACGCCCACTGCACAACCTTCCAGCCAAGGTGGCAGCTAGAAGGGAAGGGAAAAGAGTAAGATGAGTGGCTGGGAGGTGCTATGGGCAGCATAGGCAGGGCTGGTGCTGGGGCAGGGCACGTACCCTCAATCTCCTGGGCCCTTACTCGGCGGATGGCGGCCCGGATCAGCTTGCGTTCCTCATACTCACCGGCACCTCGCAGCTGTGGGTGAGAGGTAAGCCACGGGTACTGGGCTGTGGGTCCAGGTCGTTACCTAACCTGCCCCCACCCTGTGCCCTGGCCTGGGGCTCACCAGTGAGGTCAGTTCCTCCACATCACTCATGGACTCCAGCCGCCCCGCCAGCCGCGCCAGGGCAGCCCGCTGCTCGGTCTCCCGTTGCTGAGAGCTGCAGGAACATCATGCCTATAACCCCCGCTGCCATGGCCATGTGGGATGAGGTTGGGGGCCAAGACAGGGTACCCAGAACCTTGGCAGAGGGGCATGTGGCTGTGCACACCCTCTGGTGATATGCTGGCACATGCACGCTTGTGGACCCGAGCACTAATACCACACACTCAGTCATGCGGTCTACATGGGCGTGGCCAGGACACCAGGACTGGCATGTGGTCCATGCCCACAAACATCCCTGTGTATCCCATTTGCACACCCAGACGGGCAGCAGACACACCTGTGCTTGTGCCTGCCTGAACAGCATTAGCTGAGCCCTGGTACTTATTCCCCCCACCTGCATGTCCAATCCCTCCCCCCCATCCCCCACCCCCACACACTCACTGCAGCCAGTTCTCCTTGTTGTCCTGCCGCTCAGCACGGAAGCGCTTGGATGCCAGGGCTTCCTCCTCTCGCTCCAGCTCCTGTCGCTGCAACTCCCGGATGGCTGAGCGGATGCGCCGCCGCTCTGCCAGATCCGCTGTGACCTCCAACTACAGGATAGGCGGGGGCGAGGGGCAGGTCATTTTGGCTGCCAGGGGCAGAGGGTGGGCATCAGCTACCCACAGCCTGGCCTGTGGCACAATGAGTGGTCTGTCTCTACTCCCCCCGCCCCACACTCATCACGTGCTTGTACCCACCCACTCAGCATCTCGGGGAGACCCAGCTCACGCAGCCACGGCTTCTGGACAGCCCATCGTGGTTCACAGAGTGAGTAGCCACCAACCGCCCACCTGTGCCAGGTACTAAGCTAGGCATTCCTTCAACTTGACTCCTGCTTCTCTGGGCCCTTCATGAAACCTCTGGGAGCAGGAAAAGGAGGGAGGCCATCCTATGGGTCGCTAACAGTGCCCCTGGGAACGGAAGGGTGATTTGGGCAGCTGGAGTCCATCCTGTGAGCAAGAGAGACTTCCATGGTCTAGTCCCAAAGCACCACAGCCCTGCTGGGGATGGCAGCCTCACCCACATTGGACAGGTGGGGAAACTGAAGCAGGGGCCGGTGCTCAGAAGTCCTAGCTCCCCTCCTAGCTGGGGGCTATTGTTTTTCCTGCACTGGCCCAGCCTTAGCCACCATGAAAGGGGCAAAGGAGCCAAGGCCCAGAGTGGGAGGGCCAATCCTCTAGATTGCTAAGGCAGCTACACTAGGGTTCACCCAAGGTGTCCATGTGAGACAGGTGCTCCCACAGACTTCTTAGCTCCTCAGTTTCTGAGAAATTGGGGGTGGCTGGTCTAACCAGGTTCGGGAAAGGGCATCTTCTCTGGGCAGTCGGCCAATCCTGTTGTCTCCCCCCGCCCACAGCACCTCTGTGGCTCATGGAAGAGAGGAACCCCAAGAACACAATGGCAGCAATAAGCCTCCAATGTGGGCCTGAGCCAGATGGGAGCAAGTATAGGCAAAGTGATTTTGTCTCCACCCCCCAAGTCATTTAGGGGTGAGGCCCAGGAACCCTCTACCCACTTCCTGTTTAGCCTCCTCCCCATCATGCCTTCCTGCTCCATGGGGGAGCCAGTTGGTGGGGGGGTAGGTTTCAGCAGGGAATGTGAGCTGGCCCAACTCCGCCATGAGCTCACTTGTCCCAGTCTGAAGAGAGAAGGGACAGAATGGCTTCAGGCCCCTTCAGGCTCCACATTCCTGAAGAGCTATGTACGGGTGGGTCAGGCCAGAACCCCCAGCTGGCTCTAGCCCCAGTCTAGTCCTGGGTGGTCAGGAGTATGTCCTTAATTTCTCTGTCTTGGATTTCTCATTTGCCAGATGGGACAATGGCCCCCACCTCTGGGCAGTGAGTAGATATAGGAGCAGTGACTTGGGTATCATTCCCCTTCCCTCTGCTGCATAGCTGTGGCTATAGTAAGCATCACCCCCGCTTGGTTCCAGCCACTCAGAGGTGAGGGCAAGTGAGTACAAGGTACCAAGGCATCAGTAACATTTATTGAGAATCTGTATGCCAGATCCTGTGCTTAGCCCCCTCCCCCATTTGTCCTGACCTCACAGAAACTCTGGCACTTTATTACTCCCATCTGACAGAGGAGAAAACTGAGGCTCAGGGAAGAAAAGTGATTTACTCATGGTGAAATGACCTGAGCCAGGATTTGAACCCAGGTCTCTCTAACTCCAGGGTATGCCCTAGGCTGAGGTCTGTTGCTGGGGTCTACCTGCCACGGTGGGTACCTCAAGGACCTTGGTACTGTGTTGGAGGCCCCCTCTAGCCTGGACTAGATACATATAAAAGGCCTACTGGGAGGCACATTATAGCAGAGGGAGGGAGAATGAGGCTCACCTTCCCACCTCCCAGTCTTGACCTTGCCTAACCCTCTGTGATACACATGGAGATTGGGGGCCTGAGGGGACGGCTGGTCCAGCCCTCCTTGTGCACAGGTAAAGAGGCTGAGACGTAATGACTAGCCCTTTGCTTTCTGGGTCACCCTTCCCAATGCCCTGGGCTCCAGAGATGGAGTCCCTGTCCCTGAAAAAAAAAACCTTGATGTGCGAACTTGGCCACCTCTGCAACCTCTATGAGTCTCAGTGTCCCCATGTGGAAAATGGGAGCCCCTGTCTGATTCCCTCTAAGTGGGTGGGGCAGGGCTGGGGGATGGACAACCTCATTCCACTGGTCACCCTCCAACATGACCTTTCCCTTGGGCCTGGAGGCAAAGATCCACCCAGTGTCCCTGCTGTGTGTGCTGTGTTCCCCACCCTCAGGCTCCACCGCTATGTGTGGAGGGGACTGTGGGAGGGAGGGAAGGAAGTACAAAAAACCATTGTCCACAAGGGGGAAGGGGAAGGGGTTGGGGCGGTTTCCGAAACTGACCAGTGAAATTCTCCCGGGAGGAAAGCGGGCGCTTCCGCCTCCTGGGGGTCCGGGCCTTCGGTTACTTTTTGCCATGGTTGCTGGGGGCGTCTGACAGGCCCTGGCGTCTCGCTGGGCCTCAGTCTCCCCACCAACACAACAGAGGAGACTTGCTTGGCTTTCGCTCAGTTCCAGCTCCTCCAACTACGCCTGGAGGGACTGTCTGGCAGTGGAGCGAAGCCTCGCCAGGGGGCGCTAAAGGCCCACAGGCTCCGGAACCGCCAACCTTCCCAAGGCCCCGCCCACGCCTCACCCACGCAGCCCGGCACTAGACGCCCAGAGGCAAGCCGGACTGGGAGCCCTCGGGTACCTCTTGCTTTAATAGCCCTGGCTACAGAGAGGAAACAGAGGTTCACAGAACTGAAGCAGGTCTCCCAGGTCACCCAGCTAGTCAGTGTCGGAGTCTGAACTCGAACCCGGGACCAAGGCGGCCTGCATGTCCCCAAGTGCCCCATCCGACGCAGCCCCCCACCCGGTCCTCAGGAATGTGCAGCAGCCGAGCCGGAAGCGGCTCCCCGGCTCCCCGAATCGGCCCGACGCTGGGGCGCAGGCCAGCTTTCCCTTATAAGGTCCGGTCACGCGGGGAGGAGCCCGGCTCGGGACGCCCCCGTTCCTGCCACGAGGCCGGCTGAAGCCGGGCCGGCGCGCTGGGCGGGACCCTCGGCAGCACTGGGGCGAAGTAATGGCGGGCGCCCGGCGGTGGAAGAACCGGACCATGGTGGGAAAGACCTCGGGCAGCTTCATGGTCCCGGGATGAGGGGCGGAGTCTCGTCAGTCCTTTCCCAGGGAAGGGGACGGGAGGTGGGCCAACTACAACCACTGCTCCGGCTCCTCTGAAACCCTTTTCTAGCGCCCAAATCCCGCATGGGGGTAGAACCCTGAGCCTGAGGGAATTCCTAAAGATGGGGATGCGTGGAGACCTGGCTTTCTCTCTGGAACGCTCTGCCTCTATTCCCTCCATTATGATTCCGACTTCCTGAGCGGAGGTCGTGCTGACCTTTGGAAACCCAACACACCCCTTCCAGGCTGCACATGGCCATCTGTGGTGGAAGCAGACACCCAGAGAGTCTTAAGGTGCTGAGGACACATAGGCCTAGTGCTTTGGTAGGTCATGGCAGCGGCTCCAGCACCTGCTTCCAGAGGAATGGTGAGGGGGTGGGGTGGGTCACTTGCTTACTCCTAGGGATGGTAAATTTTTAATCCCGCCCCCCTCCCCTGGACAAGGGTCAGGGGCTGGGGGTGGGGTGGGGCACTAATCCTTCATCTAGTTCAGCTGCTCCCAGCCCTTGCTGGTGGGTACATGCCTGTCCTGTTGTGTTGTCCCACAGCCTCTTTGTGAATGGGGGGAGACAGGTGTTAGGGCACTCAAGAAGAAGATGGTGAAAAAGGATAGAGGCTCATCCTTCCTCCTCAAGATCTGGGCCCATGCCTCATTCCATTCCCCTGCCAACTCTAGGACCTAGATATTAGGTTCACACACATTCCCCCCTCCCATTTTACAATAAAGAAACTGAGGCTCAGAGTGGAAAAATGACAGAAGTCGCAGACCTCATGAGGGCTCTTCTGGCTTTGACTTACTCAGGACTCTTGGTTCCCCATATCTCCCTTTTGGGTGTGTTTGGATCCTGGCACACCCTCTTCTTAGCTGGGGTCCTTGGGCTAGTGATTTTACCTATGTGAGGCACATTGTCCTCCTGGCTGTTGGGAGTGGCTGTGACCATTCTGTGAGATGGTGCCCAGCACCCAGCCTTCCCCCTGCTGTGCATTGGTATTATTAGTCATTGCTGCTACTGTTATCATTGGGCCAGCCCATAGGGGTGGGCACTGCCCAGGCTGTAGCTTGTGAGAGGCACATCCAACCTCCCCACCTGTGGCTGCACATGGGCTAGTCCTTAGCAGTTACTGTTTAATCAGGTGGTGGCAGTGGGGGGCTGGGAGGGACCAGCCCTCAGCACCTGGCAGGGACAGGCATGTGCCACTGGGGCCTCTGTATCAGCCATGTGGAACAGGCGTAGCCCTGTTCCCCTGAGCTCTCCTCCTGCCCCCTCCCCCATCACCTCCTTTTGTCAGCTGAGAGGTAGCCTGGAAGGCCCTGCCTCTCTGGCTTGGCTTGCCAGTCCTCACGGGATGATGGGGCTACTTACCAGCTTCCGCAGGGCTCCTTCATCCAGTCCAGCTAAGGACTCGTCCGCCATCTCGCTGGCCCCTAGCTCTGTCCGTCCCTTCCTGGTGAGATTCCCAGTGACTGTGGCACCTAACACCAGCTCAGGGAATTCTGCAGGGGACACAAATGAGTCAGGTCTGCTGGGGTCTCAGAAACAACTGGCACTTGGGCTCTGTGCCTCAGTTTCCCCCTTTAACCCATGATCATTCGTTGCTGTCTCATCCTTGCTACCTGTGATGTGGCTCCTGGCTGGGAGTTGCCCTCAACCCTAGGGTGTGCTGGAAAACAACAAATCAAGAATCCCTGGTTCTAGCCCAGCCAACTCAACTGCCAATTTGCTGTGTGGCCTAAGCTGGGACCTCACCCTGTGTAAGCATCAAACAGGGAGTCAAGGGGACCTGGATTGAGAAGCTGGGCTCCAGCAAGGCCTACCCAAACTGTGCTCACCACCAGAGGGTGCACACCAGACTCCACAGTTTCTTGCCCAACCCACCCATCACTAGGGCCTCCCCAGCCGCACCCACCCTGAAAGCTCAGCCTTTGGCTGTAGGCTGAGCCCATATCCAAGTCCTTGCTGTCACTGCCACTGTTTTTCTTCCAGGTGACATAAGTTTTTAAGGTAACCCCATCTTTCAATTCTTGAGGACAGCCCTCTGTACACACCCCTCTACTTCCTTTCTGCCCTCCCCCTGATGCCAACTGCCCTGACTTCATGAAGTAAGATGTCCAAGCACCCAGCTCCTTTTGCCAATTTACATACTTAGAAATCAATTCCCCAGCTGTAAAGGCTGTCAGAAGCTGAACTGTCCAACCTATGGACTTAGACAAACTGAGGATTGGAGAGGAGCAGGGATTTTTCACAGGGGGAAGGAGGATCTCAAAGACCCAGAAGACAGGGATGAATTTAATAAAAATTTTGGCCGCCTCTAGCTTCTGAAGCCCCCTTCCAAAATGCGCCTAGGGGCTCAGGACAACCCTCTTGCACGATCGCTACCCATCAAAATGGCCCCCTAAATCCTGGCTCAGCTTCCTAATGCAACTCTTTCCTTCCTCCTGCAGCCCTAATGTCTTTCTGGAATTTGAGGGCCCATAGCCTGACATAACCATCGGTGCTAAGTTAATGTATGGTGACTGAAATGGCTCCAGGATTGCCCCCTTCTTGTTGATTCATCACTCAGTCATCCCTTCCCCCTCCCCAGAACAGTCACTTGTTGAGTCACCCAATCCAGTGAATGGGGGGCCTGGGGGAGTACTAATGCACATTTGGGGTTCATTGGACCCTGCCTGTTCAAGTTGCTGCTTGCTTTTCCGATACCTGTAGGCTCGGACAGATGTCAACCTCCCAACCTCCCTCTGTTGGGGTTCTTCTCTACCTACTTTGGGATAACCACCCCTCAAGAGTGTCACTCAGTAATCACCAGACTTAGGTTCTGTGGACACTGAGTTCCCCCATTCTTAGGGCCAAGGGTCCCTACTCCATAATCTAGGACCTCCAGGGCACTGTAGGAAGTCTCTTTTTCCCCCAGGTATTCCTGCTGCTGCCCCACTTCAGTCCCACGGCTCATTGTCACACAGTCTTGGGTTCCCCGAGATTGTGGGAGGTCTCAGAGGAATGTGGGAACTTTCCTCGGGTGTCTGCCCCAACAGACTAGCACCCCTGGGGTTGTGGAGCCTCCTGATCTCAGAACCTTATCCCATAGTTTAGAGCCCCCGTGGATGGGTGGGGGCTCCCAGGTCTAAGAGTCCCAGAACACTTGCCCAGATATCCGGGTTCCACCCCCGGACCCGTCGGAGGTCCTGGTGCCGCCTGGAGGGTCGCACACCCACCTCTTAGTCCGTCGCACGCGGGCTCAGGTTAGGTCGCTCGGGATCCGAAAGAAGGACTAGGGGCAGTCAGGCGGAAGGCGCGGCGACTGGGATCCCAGACCCGCTCAGCAACCGTCCCTGGGATTCTGGAAGCGCCGCCCGTCCAGCGGCGCCAGCAGCCCTGCCGGCCTCGCCTCTCACCGCCATGCCAGCCAATCATTGAGAGGGTCCCGCCCACCCTCGTGCTCCATTGGACAATTCAACTTGACAGCCACGCCCCTCGCGGGCCTGGGTTTTAGGGGATTGTAGCGGTGGGACCACTGCCGCCGTGGCCTTGGCTGTTCGGGTGGGCGTCGGCCGGAGGACGCAGCTTTGCGCCAAAGTCTGGGAGGGCGCCCAAAGCCGGGGTAAGTGGCCAAGGGTCGTCCGAGTCTCGTAGTTAGGACAGCCCCTCTCCGCCCTCCTCTTTGTTCGTGAGACCATGCCCCCTCCCTCGACTCCGCCCCCTCCTCGTCTCAGTGGCCGGGTTTGGCGGCAATCCCCAGGTTGCTTTCGGGATACCTGGTGGATCCACCTCAGAGTAGAGACTACGTGCCGGAGTATCATGACCCTATGTTGGAGCATCTCAGGGACCATCTCGGAGCAGGATCAGTCACTCAGAACCTCGTCCCTAGCCGACACACATTTGCACAGACATTGTCCTCATCTGTCGTGCTTCTCTCCCTTCCAAGCCCCTCAGGGTCCCCCTCTTGGAGCGCTGGAGTCCTAAATTGGGAATACAGAGTCCAGACTCTCATTCAACAAACGGAGGAAATTGAGGCCCAGAGAGAGCCAACATGCCCAAGACAACACAAGGAGTCCGCCAGGGGACCCAAAGAGCTCAGTAGACTTACTGGGGAAAGCCACTACTCCATCTCTCCATCTCCTGTAGCCAGGGAACGGCCTACAGGTCTCCAGGGAAACCAAAGGGAGTTGAAACCTGGAGGGTGGGGTCTGAGGTCCTGTCTGTCAAATAAAAACAACATCGATTCATTTATTTTGTATTTGCCAGGTACCAGGTATATAATCCCTATAACGACCATTTGAGCCCAGGGTTACTGTACCATTTTACCGTTGAGGACAACAGGTGATAAGTAGTGGAACTGATTCATACCAGCACTTTTTGAGTCCCGAATCTGTGCTTTTAACCACTATGATGTGGGGTTGTGGATAAGTGGTTTCAGCCTGTTGTCCCCAGCAGAACACCTCAGCCCCACTGTCCATATCCTCTGTGACCATCCACCAACCCCATCTCACCCCCATCTAGAGAAAGGGCCACTACCCACTCCGAGACTTAAAGGTATCATCTTTATTTCATCCCCACATCTTTAAGAGGTGGTCCCATTTTACAAATGGGAAAACCAAGGTGCAGAGAGGGAAGAGACTTGTTAAGGTCACACAGGAGGAGGAGCAAACAGAGACCAATTTGGGGACTATACTTTGAGGTCCCCTTCTCCTGGGCAGGCCCCATCTAGGCCCTCTCTACTAGAACTAGATGCCATCTTATTCTCCAGAAGGAAACTCGGCGCCCTCCTAGGTCAACTGACTCCGACTTCAAATCTGGCGCTCTCTTGGAGCTGCGCCTTGGGGCGGGGCACGCTTAGCTTCCAGTCTCAGGGCCTGCCTGAGTGGCGACTTCCATCTCCAATGAATGGCCTCCTGCATGCTAGCTCCGCCCCACACACAGGTGAATCTGTGCGTGCGGACTTGACGTGTCGCATGCGCGTTCAAGAGTTCTTGGCTGTACCCAAGAGAGGCGTGGGTCCCTCCCCGCCGCAAGCCCTCAGGGCTGGGGTCCTTCTACCAGCCTGCCTCTTTCCCTTCCTCCCTGCAAGGGGTGGGGCGGGATGGTGGTGGTGGCGAGGACGCAAAGATCAAAGGGCAGCCCCGGTGTGCTGCTGGGGAAGCTTGTAGCCACAGCCCAGGAATGTGTAAACATGCGGTGAGGAGGATCCTGGCGTTTACTGAGCACCTACCTGTCAGACACAGGGTTCGCCCTATTGCAAGTTGACCACTGTGCAAGGTAAGTATTACCGGGATTCTACAGAAGAGGAAGCTGAAGCTCTGGGAGGTGAAGGCACCCTGGGCTGGCAATGACATTCAAATTTGAGTGGAATTCTGTCCATGTCAAAGCCCCTTTCCTCTACCTTGTTGCCCCTAGCATGGGGGCAATCCTGGAAGACACCTCAGAGGAGGTGATGTGCAAATTAATCCTTGAGGAAGGGTGCAAAGAAATCCACCCAACAGAAAAGAGGAGGAAATGCATGGAAGAGCGTTTGTGGCAGAGGAACAGTGTGATTAGAGGCTCGGAGGTTTGTAAATGAGAAAAAGCGGAGAGATGGGCTGTGGATGGAGCAGGAAGTGGAGATGGGAGTGGTCCCATCTGTGAAGTGCACTGAATGCCAGGTGAACATATCTTGTGGGCACTGGGGAGGCCTGGACCTCAGTCTGTCCATTTGTAAAATGAGGGGATTGGACTGGCCCACTTCAAGCCCTCCCAGAGCAGAGGGGCTATAGCAGGAAGGGTCCAGATTCTTCCAGGTCCAACCCTAGACTTGGCAGAGTGGGGAGCCACTGGAGTAGCTCAGGGGCCAACGGTAATATTTTGCTCCAGTGCCTGAGTCTGAGAATAAATATTGTACCAAACTGGCAGTGCCAGATCCCTGAATCACCCTGCTTCTCCTCCCCCAGCCAGGATCCTGCAGAGAAATGACCCAGGCATGGGGTCAGGACACAAGAGGGGTGAGGGGTCTTAGCCCTGGCTCCACGCCAGGCAAAATTTTGGTCTGCTTGGAACCTTAGTTTCCTTATATGCACAATGGGGGAATTGTGTCCTGAGCTCTCTAAGCTCCTCCCACCCGCCCCGAACTAGACAACATATAATTCCAAGACTGTTAGGAAGACCCCACATTGGGATATGCTCACAAGTGTCTGTGAGGCCAGGCAAGGCCAAGACCCTGGACCTATGAAGGAGTCCAGGGGTTGTTGGGAAGGATGGAGGGGTTAGAGATAGATTCGAGTTGGGCCTGCTATTGGGATCTCATAACCTAGTGGGAGTAGAGGAAGAGACAGTGTCTGGACTCTTAAAGTGATTGAGAACAAAGCCTTCACTTGCTGTTTGGCATGCTGAGGGGATGGGGAAAGGCAGCCTGGAGAAGGGAACAGCATGAGCAAAGGAAGCGAGGTAGGATTGCGAAGACTTTGTTGGGGAAAAGTCAGGTAGGTGAGGCTGGAGCATGGAGTCTCTAGAGCAGAAGAACTGGTTCTTGTTGGGGTTGGCTGGATCCATGGACTGTGACCCTCATCATGGGTAGAACTAAGGTTATGGCCAGCAGTTCCAGGAGTGGGGTTAGGGACCTGTTTGGAAAACCAGTTTGGCAAGGCTGTCTCCATGATTTCATCCAGCTGCTGTGTTCTCTGAGTGACAGTGCCAGATAAACTTCCGGCCTTGGAGGAGAAGAAGGGGCCCAGCCCCTGGTGCTGAAGAGTGGAAAGGGAGTGACTCTTCAATGTAGGAAACTTGGAGGCAACTGGACCCGAAGAAGGAGATCTTAGGGGGGCTGAGATACCCACTGAGTTGTGATGGACCTCAGGAGACCAGCCTCATGGACAAAGGAGAGGGTTCAGGATGGGCTGGCCTGGATCTTCTGTGACTTCCAGGGGTTCCCTGAAGCCTGACCTCATCTAAGCTCATGGCAGGGCCCTGCGTAATTGCTGCTCAATGGGCTGGATGGAGCGTGGCTCCAGATCACCCTTATAATACACGCCTGGCAATTTTGTTATTACTATGATCCTCACAGCTTGAGCCTTGTGAGGTAGAATCATCACTATACAGATGAGGAGAAAGGCTCAATGAGACCAAGCCACGCCAGCACCTCACACAAGATTTGAACTCAGAACCCTTGGTCTTAACCATGGTACCCTGCCATCTGCCATTTGGGATCTCTGCCCACATGGGACCTTGTTATATTTCTTTTTTTTTTTTTTTTTAAAGATTTTTTTATTGGGGAATTGGGGGAATGGGAACAGTGCTGGGGAATTGGGGGAAGGGGAACAGACAAGTTGATGTCGTTTTGTTCTTCAGTCTAGTTGTGGAGGACGTTGCTTCACTGGCCCAGGTTGGCACCATCATTGCGCTCTTCCTGGGCAAGGCAGATCAGTCGCCAGCTTCTGGATGGCTGCTCACTGACTGCGGCTGCTGGCCGCTCACACTGGCTGCTGGCTACATACGATAGCCCATGGCAATCCACTGCCACAGGGTCTGCAGCCTACGCCGTCGCCGGCGACTCATGGCAACCCAGCTCTAGGTTGAGCTGTTGTTCAGCATCTTAGCTGTAGAGGGCAGTGTCACTGGCCCTCATATGTGGGATCCGAACCGGGACCCTCTGGCATCCCAAGCCAGTTCTTAACCATCGTGCTACTTGGCCGGCCCCCTTGTTATATTTCTTAACTACTTGTGTGTAGCAGGAGCTAAATCTTGCATCATAGAGCCCTAGAAGCCCACCTTGTGGTACAAATAGGTAATCTGAGTCCCAGAGAGGGCAAGGGACAGGTTTTAGGTCACATAGCAAATTGGGGGTAGAGCCACCCTGTACCCCAGATCCTCAGTTTCCCAAATCCCTTGTTTCCCCCTCAGGGCCTGGCACACTTAAGCACAAAGTGACAGTAACTGGCTCATACTGAGTGCCTACTATGTGTCATTCACTCATAATCATCACCATAGCCCTGTGATGTTGGTGCTAAGATAATATCCATTTTATAGGTAAAGGAACAGTCTCAGAGAGGGGAAGTCACTTGTCCAAGCTGACATATGTTTTGGTGATAGGACTGGGATTGAACCCAGTTGTGTGGCCCTTTCCCCTTGGTGGACCCAATAGGCCTCATCGGAGGCATGAAGACCTCTAGACAAGAGATTGGATGGCCCCTTTGCAGGCTCCAGAGGCAAGCAGTATCCAGTTAATAGTTTCCACATATGCCTGGCCTCCCTGGGACAGGAAGAAAAGTACTGAGGCTGTGGAAATGCTCTGAACCTTCCCAGAGGAGGCGGCCACGGTGGGAGGGAGTGCTCTGTGCAGACTTCAGAGCCAAGTGTAGATG